AATGCATTTTTTGAGACATGTCATAGGTCTAAAGAACACAGCAAAGGTTCTAACTTCTGACTAGTGCTAGTACACCTTTAGAGGGCAGTAGTGAGTAATCTTTGTTTACTGGATGTTTTTTAATAATACCTTCAGAGGGCAGTAGTGAGTAATGTTTGTTTATTTGATGTTTGTTTAATAGTACCTTCAGGGGGCAGTAGTGAGTAATGTTTGTTTATTTGATGTTTGTGTAATAATACCTTCAGGGAGCAGTAGTGAGTAATGTTTGTTTATTTGATGTTTGTTTAATAATACCTTCAGGGGGCAGTAGTGAGTAATGTTTGTTTATTTGATGTTTGTTTAATAATACCTTCAGGGGGCAGTAGTGGGTAATGTTTGTTTATTTGATGTTTGTTTAATAATACCTTCAGGGGGCAGTAGTGGGTAATGTTTGTTTATTTGATGTTTGTTTAATAATACCTTCAGGGGCAGTAGTGAGTAATGTTTGTTTATTTGATGTTTGTTTAATAATACCTTCAGGGGCAGTAGTGAGTAATGTTTGTTTATTTGATGTTTGTTTAATAATACCTTCAGGGGGCAGTAGTGAGTAATGTTTGTTTATTAGATGTTTGTTTAATAATACCTTTAGAGGGCAGTAGTGAGTAATGTTTGTTTATTTGATGTTTGTTTAATAATACCTTCAGGGGCAGTAGTGGGTAATGTTTGTTTATTTGATGTTTGTTTAATAGTACCTTCAGGGGGCAGTAGTGAGTAATCTTTGTTTATTTGATGTTTGTTTAATAATACCTTCAGGGAGCAGTAGTGAGTAATGTTTGTTTATTAGATGTTTGTTTAATAATACCTTTAGAGGGCAGTAGTGAGTAATGTTTGTTTATTGATGTTTGTTTAATAATACCTTCAGGGGCAGTAGTGAGTAATGTTTGTTTATTAGATGTTTGTTTAATAATACCTTTAGAGGGCAGTAGTGAGTAATGTTTGTTTATTTGATGTTTGTTTAATAATACCTTCAGGGGCAGTAGTGAGTAATGTTTGTTTATTAGATGTTTGTTTAATAATACCTTTAGAGGGCAGTGATGTTTAATGTTTGTTTATTTGAGCTCAAGCTGTTTCTATCATCAGTTGGGAGCTACTGTGTGTATCGAGAGCTAGGAAGCAAAATAGCCAATCAATTAATTTGAGCACTTTATGTTTGTATGTTAATAGTTTCATACAGTAAACAGAAATGACAAATTGTTAATCGCAATTATTTAAATGTCAATTAATCACCAGATAAAATTTCATGAAGCAGATCTAGCCTGTACTGATATATGCTAGATGTTCTAAGAGGTTTCACTGCAGTTCTATGGAGATTTCAGTGCTTAGGTAGTTTTTTGCTCTGGTACTTTTGGACTTCTGTCAAGATGCCTTTGCGTAAGTACTTTTACTTCTATTTGAGTCATTATTTCACATAAGTAACTAGGGGTTGGCAACATAAAGTTATGTTATTGTTATTGTGATAAATTACCCAACATTCTTTTTTAAGCATACTGTATATATTGTCAGTACTTAGAGAGCACTGAAAACTGCATCATTCATTACATAAAGAGGATAATTAGTCCTTTTTAATTGAAGTTTAGTGGATAGTATGAAATTCGAATAGAGAATTTTTTGAATAAAAAGTGTGCTGTATGCTCTTTCAGTCATGCTGAGAACATAAGGTCATGGATGAAGTTGTTTCCAAAAGCAGTTTCATTTGCTAGAAAAGTTAATCCGCTCCTCTAAAACATTATTTACATCTATAAAAAATAAAAAAACATGCATTCAAAAATGGAAAAGTAAAGATTATCATAAGTATGTGCGGCAGATAGTGTGTGTACTGCCATGCTCCATTTGGCAGTGTCTGCTCCTGTTCCCGAGGCATTGACATTTAAGATTTGTGTCATACTTTGGGCTCTTATGTACGTGATGGAACTTGAAATATCGGTTCTTTCCGAGCGCCTCTTATGCAGCTTTAGAGCTGGGTATAAAGCGGGGATCTTGGGAAATGGGCAAACTCAAGCTGCAGTATATATCAATCTATCAGTCTTCTTCTTCCTGCTCCGTTCATCACCCTAGTGTATATATGGACTCCTTTGTGTTGCCAGTGATTCATAACAGTTTGTCAAAGATCTGAATTTATAAGCTTATCTAGAGACTAGTGATTTATGGATTGTGTATTGTAGTAGTTAAGGTGGGATAGCTCACACTTAAGCCACTCTCCATGATCCGGCTCAAGCAGAACGTGAGCAATAATTGTTTATAACATCATTGTTTACTGATCATCAAGGTGTGTTCCTTAACTTTCCTTCAACAAAATGGTTGACCAAGCTCATTAGTTTCTTTTTAGTTACTAAACCAAACCCTTGCATATTTCAAAGTCAAAGACAAAGGACAAACTATAATATGTGATGCCTTTTTCCCCTGTGTTCTCATTATGCGGAAACCCCTAACCATAGAGCCTCCCCTCTGCTCATACTTTGAGAGAGAGTCACTGCTGATTCCAATCAAAGTGGATTGTTCCAGAAGCTTTGGGGCCTGAGTGTTTCCTGCCTCAGATAAGAGCGTGTCTCTTTGAGTCCTGCTGGCCAGGTGACCTTTACTGTCTCAACATTATTCATGCTAAATGCCTGTCCCCCCTACCCCTTATTGTTTTGTTTTTTTTTCATCGTGACGCACTGTCCTATGAGGAAAAAAAAACAACAACAATAGAGGCAGGAAAAAAGCCATCACCATGGTAAAGCCTCCGTGTAGGTCATTTTATTACCAGCTTGAATCCGAACCTCCGACTGAAGGCGGGGGCCGGGCCAGGAATACCAATGCCTGCGGCCAATCAATCGGCAGTCCTGTTGCTCAATAGGAGTGATCAAGAAAACTGCACACTAGGTAAATGGAGGACTGAGCATTAAAGCCGACGGCGCAGGCAGAATGCAGCCTGATCATATTTGGAGGGATCTACAGTTTCTTTCTCTGAGGCTGCCGCTGCTTACGTTGCCTCCTTTCACACACCATAAGAGAGACATGTGATAAACTGAGATGTTGACCAAAGACTTCAGCTGTAAGAGAATCGTTTAGTGTTTAGTGTGTAGTCGGAACTAGCACTTAATGGAAGTGCCAGTGGGGGTGGAGCTTAGATAAATGGCCAACCTGGTCATTTATCTACCACACCAGGTTTTAAGTCATTTAGAGGCTTCAGAACAGTTATTTCATTTAGAAGTTGTCATTATTGCTACAACAAAAGCTTGCTGTAGTTTTATATTAATTATTTCTCACTCATAACTTATTGAAAAAAGTAATTTTTTTGAAAGTGCAGATTCTCAACTGTGAATCTATAACTTGCGTGTAAGTAGAAGAAATATTTTGTTATGCTTGAAATTTGATGTAAAGTTATTGTTATGTGTGCAGTACAGTGTTTTATCCAGTATTTCATTTTAAGGGGGGCTGGTTACATCATGTCAAACAGGAAGCATTAGGTCACAGAAAAGTCACATGAGTAGCCTACCTCATACAGCACTGGGAGTAGATGTCTGTGTTAAATGGCTGAATACACAGTGGTCAACTTTGCTTTCTTTACCGTAGTCAACTTTACTGCTTACCTAGCTCGCTGTAACTCAGTAAGTAGACTACGCTAGGAAGAACACAGCTCAGATTTATATTTTTCGACATCATTTCAACACACCAGCTTTACGTTGTATGAAAATTTCATGATGAAATGCTCTAAAATCACTTGGAATAAAATCTCTTTACATTAACTTGCGTTGAAAGTTAAGAGTGTTTTTGCCCTCTCCTGTAAAGTTACTATTTTGGAGATACTTGTTTTTCTATATAGATAAAAAATATATCATATTTGATATTATATCATATAGTGTTATTTTCTAACACTAGCTCTGTGGGCCTGGCAAAAATGATGCTAAATGTTGTTTCACTTTTTGATTTCTTCAAGGTGGAATTTGGCTTCTCGGCAGCTTTTTGTTTCAATTTTCCGTTCCACCTTAAATGGATCAGCAGTTACATTCTGACACCATCTCACTTCATTGTACAGACACCTGAAAGTAACTGCTTCACTGTTTAAGATGGGACTGGAAATTTGAAAAGAGAAGCCGGCTTTAGCTTCAAGTCATTTATCTCATATGTGTGTTCTATACACTCATACCTTTGACTACCAGACACTGCTGGAATCTGGAAAATCTTACAGGAGACCTCCTCGGCCAGGCCTCATTGCTCTAGTGTCCATGTTAGGCTAGGGCAAACTCCAAAAATCTGTCCATTCCTTTATGTCTGGTGCTTTAGAAACAAAGTGGACTACTTCAGACGCAATAAGCAAGATAGCTGGAAGTGATCAAGAGACTGCTGCATTTTCATTTGAAACATGACGGAACGTTCCTGGCTCTGCCAACCAGCTAAATAGCTAACATGTGGTTTGCACGATTTTTATGTTTTAGTGTCTGTACTTATTTTTGGCAGACCTGTATAATCGTTATGATGAAACTTATACCTGAGGTAGAATTTCAACCTGTATAGGCACAAAGGTGCAAGAACTTAGCAACACTAGGTTCATCCTACATTATAAGAATATTTTCATTGGTATTGGAAAAGTGGGAATTTTTTTTCTTTCTTTTTTTTCACATTTTTGTAATTTCTTGACAAATGAAACAAGGAAAAAAGTTGATACAGAATGCAAATTGAATGCAAATGTAATTCATTGCAATTAAATATGTAATTGTGTAATTAGAAAAGTAAGGCAAAATAGCATTAATAATGCTTGACATTTAAGGGTTAAGGAAAGTTAGTACAGTGTGTTCGGCTTGTTTGAGCAGTATTTTCTAACCCAGTCTTCCTTGCTACATAGCATGCACTACTTGTGGTAAAAAGACCACTATGTTCTTTGTATTTCGGAGTCTCTCGGCAGACTGTTTTGACAGACGCTAATGTCTCTGAGTACTGTATGTTTGACCACTATGCCCTTCTTTCTCTCTTTCTCATAGCTCTGTGTACTGAGGAGTGCGCCCACGGCCGCTGCGTGTCTCCAGATACGTGTCAGTGTGAGCCGGGCTGGGGAGGGCTGGACTGCTCCAGTGGTGAGTTCACTCTCTCATTAACTCTGAGAGCACAGTTCACTTCATTAAGGCCCTCTCACTCGTACTGTAATGCCTGCTCCTTTCCCCAGAGACCAAGGCCTGCCTCCAGGAGCTCTCAGTCTATTACAGGGAAAATAGCGCAGGAGGAAAACTCTCCACGATCACATTTACGCTGCAATACTATTCAACTCTTACAGTGTAACCTCAAAGCGCAGAAGCACACACACCAAAACAATAGATCTTCTCTTTGAAATGTAAGCAGTGCTCAAAAACTAAGAAATGAAGGATAATGTTTGGGTTAAACCCTTAAAGGTCAACAAGTGATTATTGTAAAGCTATGGCAAGAAAGCTTACAGACCCACACATGTGCTGACACACAATGAAGTGCTCAGTCTTGCTTTAGCGATTATTTGGAGTACCAGAGCATGTGCTAGCATATAAGCAAATGCATGTTGGAGCTTTTCTGTACTTCCTGAGGATGAGTATGGTGGCTGGCTGAAGAGATAAAGCAGGCTACTTGATGTACCACCATGGCCCTGCCAGTGATACAGGCATATTTCAAAGCAGTTATTAACATAATATTTGGTTTATTAGTTTTCAGGCTCAAGGTCACATTTTCAGCCACGTCTTAATTATGCCACCATTTAATTAATGCAGAATATGTGCTGAAAACATACACTGATGAGAAAAACTTAAAAACTTTTAAAAGCGCTCTGATAAAAAATTCAGTTACATTTCCCATAAATAATTTATGTCAGTTTCAAATTGTAACGTGGACAAATGATGATGGGCCAATGTACAGAAAACATTTTGGGTCTCCACTTTGAGTAGAAGCAACAATGAAGCATTAATCCAGCAGAAAGAAACCTGTTTCTCGGTCTGGGCATTGCCTCCATGACTGTAAATCGGGGTACTCCAGGGGAGAGCTGGATTATTCACTCTTCAATCAACTAAATGCTGAATGGTTAAGAGACTCCAGAGAATGAGAGAGAGATAGAGGTAGAGTGAAAGAAAAAAAAAGAGAGATGGGTGAGAGTATTGACTTTCAATATTTATGTGCGAAGAGGAACATGGGTGGGGAAGGAAAACAAACTACCCCTCCTCCGGGTCAGGACAGGGACAGCAAACTTCCTGACCTCAGCTGACTCTGTCCAATGAAAACGGGTAGGACACAAAGACTGTCCAGTTAAATTTTAGAAGTGGCCAGTGATAACAAAAGCAATTCAATATCTGTTATTTCTTACTCTTGGAAACAAACAGAGATATTCTGTCAGAAATGTAAATTCTAAACTTACACACATTTTCTAAACCGCTTATCTTTCTGAGTCGCGGGGGCTGGAGCCTGTCCTAGTGGCAGTGGTGGACAGTAACTAAGTAAATGTAATTCATTACTGTACTTAAGTGTTTTTTTTGTGTATCTTTACTTTACTGAAGTATTTCCATTTTAGATGACTTTTTACTTTCACTCCGCTACATTTCAAAGTCAAATATCTTACTTTTTACTCCACTACATTATGCAAAATCTGTTGTTCCTTTTGGTTTATGTGTATAAAAACATAACATGTCAAAACGAAAGAAGCGTGAAGCAAGAACACCGATCAGGGTACAGCGAGCACTTTGTTTTGAGCTTGTTTTGACCTGTTGGACATATCGACCCAGTGCAAGCATACGGTTCAATGTCAGTGCAGCAGCATAAAATTTTGGCGTGTCTATTCCTACATAAATGATGGAACTAACCTAACTGTGTGTAAATAGACCACAATATAGAAATATGTACACATATGCAGTTGTGACTGGCATGTTTCTTTTTTTCTGAATTTATACAAACACTATTTCATTTTATAGTAAATTTGTTTTGGCTAGTTTATGTTTATGAACAGAGACCTGCAGATGGAATATAGTAAAGGAAAACTCATTTGTGACCCTGTGTTTACGCTTGGTTCTACCTTATGGAAATTGTTTGCCTTCAGTGTTTTGTGCTTATGATCATTTTAATAGACATCAGTGTCAGACTAATTAATGACATTCTGTTAAAAGATTGGTTTACCAAGAGTGACAGCAGAGTATTTTCACCTAAAATGAGTTAATGAAGCAAGAGTCTTGTTACGAAAGTGATCATAGGTCATTAGAGTCATAATTAATCTTTTAGTACTTTCACTTTTGATACTTAAGTACATTTGAAGGCAAATACTTTTGTACTTTTACTCAAGTGGAGGTCTAAAGGGAGGACTTCTACTTTTACTGGAGTAATATTTTACCTTGGGTATCTCTACTTTAACTTTACTTTAAAGTACATGATTTGTGTACTTCGTCCACCACTGCCTAGTGGTCATTGAGCAAAAGGCAGGATACACCCTGGACAGGTCGCCAGTTGCCACACCTAGGGGCAATTTAGCATTTCCAATTGGCCTGATTGCATGTCATTGTACTGTGGGAGGAAACCCATGCAGACATAGAGAGAACATGCAAACTCCACACAGAAAGGACCCTGGTCGCCCACACGGGAAACCAAACCCAGGCCTTTCTTGCTATCCACGCTACCCACTGTTTCTCCTGAATTCTAAGCACTTATTTTATCATGATATTTTGTCATAATTTGAATTTAATGAAAAGTTATAGTTGTGTGCACAGTGTGAATGTTTTGCGTAAAGAAAAAATATCCTTTACATTCACAACTGGGGATCTTTCAAAATGTTTTAATACCAATACTGAAACCTTAACTTTGATACCATTTCCTAAAGGATACTTTGTTTTAAATTACAAATATAAAGTGGGTGTGGCTTAAACTAGAATTAATTGGGAGGTGCTGGAAGCGGTGTATTTACTGACTGTAATGGATTGTAGACTAATCAAGAAATGCTGACATTAATGACATGCACATGTAATTTAGTCAGAATGTAATTTAGACAGCCATTAAATGTTGAAGCAGGCATGCTTATTCGCTCACTCACTCACTTTGAATAATTAGGCACTGAAATTTGGTACTGAATGGCAATATCAAGTCAAGTCATGTGGTCCTTACTGTCATTCCTCAATAGAATAATATGACCATGCAACACAAAACAGCAGCGCATTACACAGGACTGCATAAATTGTGGACACATGAAAATATGCGATAAATACACACACACACACACACACACACACACACATCATCTAAACCGCTTATCCTTCTGGGTCGCGGTGGGGTGCTGGAGCCTATCCCAGCTGTCATTGGGCGGAAGGCTGCGATAAATACACAAGACAGTAAATACACAGAACAATAAATACAAGTGATGATAAACACAAAGAGCAAAACAATATGTATGAATGGGCATCATATATGTAGATATGGAGGGGCATCAAAGCAGCATCAGCATATAGTGGAGGAACTAGAGCATACATTGTCAACTGTAAACTGTACAGAAAGATGGAGGTCTCATCGCAGCATTCAAAGAATTAAAGTGCAAGTGTGTAGTGGTGGTTACAGGGTGTGTGATCAGTCTGTAGAAAATGTTGGAAAGAGTGTAAATTAGTAAATTATTTGCATTTCAGTACTTAGTAAAATTGAAGTAATTCATAGGCACCATGAAAGTTTTGATTTTTGACACCAAGCCCTGTTTATGTTTTTGTCACATTTTTGTCATTTCTTTTCATCAAAACAAACAGAAAAAACCTGCAGTACAGATTTGAAACAAGTTGATGCAAAATGTAAATGTATTTCATTATGTAACTGTGTAATTAAATATGTAATTACATAATTATATTCCAAGAGTATAGCTAAACAAAAGTAGTAATTCATCCAGAAGCTCTGTCTCTTCCAGCACAACATAAATCTCACTTGATATATAGAGCTCTTTCATGCTCAGGGCATCAGGGATACTGACTTGGTGATTCATGGCCTACGTTTTGACCCACTTTGTTAAGTCTTATTGCTGAACTGTTTGGCTTTGTTGTGGTTCATTTGCTTCCATCTCCACACATATTAACCAATGAGTGGTTGTGCTGGACACACTAGTTCCTCAGTGGTATAAGGATCTATTGGGCATTTTCATTAACAAAAGAGCCATTCCGTGATTACCAGCAGTCTGTAAATCAACTGCTGACTCTGTAGCGATGGCCACGGCATACAAGGTGGAAGCATGGGCGCTGCTAGCGACCTACACTGACTCTGTTTAGAGAAGGGCCACTCTGCAGGGGACAGAAGGGGAACTGGACTCTCCCTTGAGACCTCATGAGTTTCTCCTAGTTCGTGGCCGCGTGTTTCTCCATGCAGGTGCTGTGCTAATCTGCCTTATTAAAAAGGGACCTGGTGATTGAGACCGAGGCATTATTCATAACCTTCATATTTCCATACCAGGCACACGGCCAGTCCTTTTCATTTACGAGCTTTCATCTGCAGAAATGAGGAATGAGTGCCAATTTTTAAATTAAATCTGCCCCCTTTTTCCCTTGCACATAAATGGTGCATCATGTTTTTTGTCGTACACTGTAAATTTCCTTCTCCTGCTCTCTCTCTCGCTCTCTCACTCTTTCTGTCTCTCTCTCTCATGGACGGTTGATAGGGAGCTTTACTGATTCAGGGGTAAGTGGATTCTGTCATCACTTTAGGGGCCTTGTAGCCTAACAGAGACAAATAGCGATGCCAGCATGGCGCTCCATAACCATTGTGGAGCAGTTGAGGTGTTATTGTGAAATAAAGCCGAGTGTCCTTGGTGCTGTGTACTGTATGTGATGCTGGATGGAGGGGGGATGGGTTTAGGTGTGTGTGTGTGCGTATGTGTGTGGCAGTAAGCACTGTCGATGATGGGTTTGTGAATGGCAGAGCTGCTTTAGGTGGCATGAGCTCCGAAGCTGAAGTAGCAGGCTCCGGGTTGGTGATTTGGAGCTGCATCAAAGGGGTCTGGCCAGCGTTAGTGGAGCAGCACTCACCAGGAGCTTTCTATGTGGGTCAACAGAGAGAAGTGAGGGGCTGCACGCCTAGCCAGGATAAACCAGAAAACCAGAAGAGAGAGCAAGAA